TGTCTATGGAGGCCTTGAGGCTGTGCGGGCTGGCAGCCCGCAACGATTCAAAGCTTTATGGAGGCCTTGAGGCCGTGCTGGCTGGCAGCCCGCAGCGATTCAAAGCGTTTATGGAGGCCTTGAGGCCGTGAGGGCTGGCAGCCCGCAGCGATTCAAAGCGTTTATGGAGGCCTTGAGGCCGTTCGGGCGGGCAGCCCGCAGCGATTCAAAGCGTTTATGAAGGCCTTGTGGCCGTGCGGGCTGGCAGCCCGCAGCGATTCAAAGCGTTTATGGAGGCCTTGAGGCCGTGCGGGCTGGCAGCCCGCAGCGATTCAAAGCGTTTATGGAGGCCTTGAGGCCGTGCGGGCTGGCAGCCCGCAGCGATTCAAAGCGTTTATGCAGGCCTTGAGGCCGTGCGGGCTGGCAGCCCGCAGCGATTCAAAGCGTTTATGGAGGCCTGGAGGCCGTGCGGGCTGGCAGCCCGCAGCGACAGCCCGCAGCGATTCAAAGCGTTTATGGAGGCCTTGAGGCCGTGCGGGCTGGAGCCCGCAGCGATCAAAAGCGTTTATGGAGGCATGGAGGCCGTGCGGGCTGGCACCCGCAGCGATTCAAAGCGTTTATGGAGGCCTTGAGGCCGTGCGGGCTGGCAGCCCGCAGCGATTCAAAGCGTTTATGGAGGCCTTGAGGCCGTGCGTGCTGGCAGCCCGCAGCGATTCAAAGCGTTTATGGAGGCCTTGAGGCCGTGCGGGCTGGCAGCCCGCAGCGATTCAAAGCGTTTATGGAGGCCTTGAGGCCGTGCGGGCGGGCAGCCCGCAGCGATTCAAAGCGTTTTATGGAGGTCTTGAGGCCGTGCGGGCTGGCAGCCCGCAGCGATTCAAAGCGTTTACGGAGGCTTTGAGGCCGTGCGGGCTGGCACCAGCAGCGATTCAAAGCGTTTATGGAAGCCTTGAGGCGTGCGGGCTGGCACCCGCAGCGATTCCTTGCGTTTATGGAGGCCTTGAGGCCGTGCGGGCTGGCAGCCCACAGCGATTCAACGCGTTTATGGAGGCCTTGAGGCCGTGCGGGCTGGCAGCCCGCAGCGATTCAAAGCGTTTATGGAGGCCTTGAGGCCGTGCGGGCGGGCAGCCCGCAGCGATTCAAAGCGTTTATGGAGGCCTTGACGCCGTGCAGGCTGGCAGCCCGCAGCGATTCAACGCTTTTATGGAGGCCTTGAGGCCGTGCGGTCTGGCAGCCCGCAGCGAATCAAAGCGTTTATGGAGGCCTTTTGAGGCCGTGCCGGCTGGCAGCCCGCAGCGATTCAACGCGTTTATGGAGGCCTTGAGGCCGTGCGGGCTGGCAGCCCGCAGCGATTCAATTCGTTTTTGGAGGCCTTGAGGCCGTGCGGGCTGGCAGCCCACAGCGATTCAACGCGTTTATGGAGGCCTTGAGGCCGTGCGGGCTGGCAGCCCGCAGCGATTCAAAGCGTTTATGGAGGCCTTGAGGCCGTGCGGGCTGGCAGCCCGCAGCGATTCAACGCGTTTATGGAGGTCTTGAGGCCGTGCGGGCGGGCAGCCCGCAGCAAAGCCTCTACAGTGAACCTGATCCTGGTTTTACAGCCATCCTCAGGTCTCCACGGCCTGTTTTTGCTGGCGGCTTTCCTAATACAAACCTACTGGGATTGAGGGGTTTGAGGTTTGGGGTTCAAAACTGAATCTATATTCGTCTATTATATTAGTCTAGACACTATTAGTCTATATTGTATGAGTCTATGTGGGTGGTTATTGCGTCAAAGAAAAATTCTCATGTCTTCAAGCTGCCTCACGGCCTCGCTAACAGTCACGAGCTCCTGCGTGGTGGTTCGCCTTGGCATTTTCAGGGCGTGTCGGCGTGTAGGAGCAAGACTATAAGGGCTTATTTTGCTTAGGGTTTAGGGTATATCTTCAATCCTGAACACTGAAGAAGCACAAACCCACCATAGCCCACCCCCAGAGCTAAATAGGTGATGCTAGCGCCAGGTCGCAGATCCATGGATACACATCCTTGCTGATGTGTCCTTTCTTCCATGCTCCCAAGGAAACAAACGGTTAGCCTTGCCGAATTCTACTAAACTAGACAAATCCCAAAACTCGAGCCTAAACCAAAACATAAAACACCGAAAAAGTTGTAAAAAGATATTATGCATATTCAAACATCAAGGGGCTTCAGGCAGCGCACCTTGAAGCACGGCGGTGACCGGACCGTTCCTTGCCTTAGATGTCGGAGCCCAGAAGCTTCTCTGCCTACGTCTTTGATAGCTAATAACAATCGTAGTAGTATTCGAGGAGATTATAATCATGATCACGAGTATGAGTGTCAACATCAATGGCAAAGCTGAGACGAGTACGGATAGCGAGACCATGCGAGACCCATACTAAGGATACTATTAATGACTAATGATGACTCATGTTATACTTATCGTTGTCATTCCCAACATACTTATTATTACGAACATGGTATTCTGATGATGACTAGCCTCAGCCTTGATACTACCACGACCATGCAGTACATTACGAATACTGCTAGTGCTATGCTTACGGAAAACAAGAACAGCAGCAATAACAAACTAGCTACAAGAATGGGGACAATATGCAAAAGTCTTTATGTAAATACACATATATACAAATGTGCATGAAGCATGCATGCATACGACCACACCCATCCCCATCCCCCGCCCCCAGCCCCCAGCCCACGCACCCCCATGCCGCCCTAGCCCCAGCCGCGCGCCATACCCACACCCATGCCCGTTCCCCTCCCCATCCCATGCCCATACCCATACCCACAAACAGACCCCATACCAAACCCATGCCATACCCATACCATACCCTGCCCCCCATACCCACACCATATCCATACCATACCATACTAGGCCCTCTCCATGCCCTGCCGCTGTTGTAAGACTGACCACCAAGCGGGGCACCACGGAAACCAGCCGTTCTGGTCGCGATAGCAATCTTTGGCGTGGTCGTAAAGATGCAGGTTGGCTCCTGCGAACGGGTGCGTGCGACTTTCTTTTGTGGAGATGCCGTGGGCCTTAGAAATGAAAGCAAGATACGGGCAAGAAGCCTAGAACCCATCAATTCAGGGCTTCTTTCTCGTCGACTTGGCTACCTAGTAAAGTAATCCGCGAACCCACTGTTCCATCAGTGTCCTCCGCTCTGCCGTAGCGAAACTTCAACCCACATGCTCCTAAAGATGGCCGCGCCTCTGCCCCAGCGCAAGAAACAGAAGCATCGCCAAATGTCCGGCTGCTGCGTGATGCCTGCTCTGACACACTCACGTGCCTCCGCATGGTCTCGAGTATAAAAGGTTCTGGGAAGATGCGAGGGTTGGGGCCAATGGCATAGTGGCGGGAGCTCCCGGTGTTTTCGCACCAAACCGAAAGCTGTGGTACATTTGGCCTTGTGCCTATCGAGTGGTTCGCGTCAGGCATGCTCACATGAAATGGAACTCCGAAAAATCTCTAGCGTTCCTGTTCCATGCGCTGCACACTGCACCAGCTCGGATAAATCTGCAAGCAAAGCCGAGAGATACTGTTAGTCCCTGATCTCGAAACCCTTCGGCGTGCAAACTCCTCTCAGAGGTTGGAGTCTGAACGCTGAACCTTTGGACAAGAGGCTCTGAATGTTGCGGCTTGCTGGCAACAGCCGGAGAGCATCTTCGGGATGCCTGATTTTGACAGGCGGGCTTACGGTTCACGGGTTCGGGTTGAGGGTTTTAGGTTTTAAAGTTTTGAAGGTCGCGAGGCAAAATGGGGCTCACGGATCTAGGGCTCCAGGGTTTTATTCGCATCGGGGTTTAGGGATAAAGGGCTTCTTGTTCGTGCACGGCTACACGTGTCCACGAGTTCCCACGGTCGAAAATAAGCGGCAGGCCCTGTAGCTGCGAGGGCGGGCTTTCCGTCTTTACCAGTCAATTCATTTCCAAACAAAGCCCTTTCTCCAAATCCAAAACCAAAACCAACAATAGGAAACTCAAAGTTCGGCCCGGGCACAGATAGTGACACACCTTGCATGCGGACGTTGGAAGGACTTGGCAACTTCTCAGGAGGAGTACACGGAACGTGGAACCACAAGACATACATGCATACATGTGAGCGAGCATCCAAGTGTGTTTGCTCATACATGCTTGCATGCACATGCACAGGTGAATCAGGTGCGTGTCACATGAATCGTCTATCTACTCATGTACCTCTGCATTTGTTGTTTTACTCGTCTACCTGCTTATCTGCATTCTTAGCTCGTTCGTTTCTATCGAAGCAAGAAGAGTAGACTACACCGTCATGACACCAGCGTTGCATATTTGGGGGGGGGGGGGTTCTGGCTTGATTCGCTGTTGCGAGGTTGGTGCACGGCACACCCTTCAGTCCAAAGCATCAGGCACTATGTGATAGCCAGCCACTGCCTTCTACGTAACCCTAATTCACCCTCATCAAATCGTAAGGACACCTTCTAATGAAGTCTCGGCGCCAGGGCTGCAACGTCCTGAGGAATGTCCGCCAGTTTGGTGGCCATGGGGGGCATGCCTCTCTCGCGACGGCAACCCGGTCCAAGGCTCAGCTTGAGCCACCACGAAACGATTTCGGCTGTAGGCCTTAGGAGTTTAGGAGTTTAGGGCTTCGGGTGGAGAGATGAGGGCCTACGGTCAGGGTGTAGGGATGTCGAGGGTTGATATTTCGGTTGCCTCCTGCACTGCTTGGCGGGCTCAAGGTTTACTCGACTTCGCCTGCCCTGCCCGTCGATATGCACATTGCTGGAAAAAGCACCCAACTGGACGCGAGTGTCTACTGTACACATTCAAAACCTTCTAACACAAGCACTCAACAGCAATACCCACGCTCCAAGCCATCCACAAGACACAAGCGGGAACCCCTGAAGTTCAAAAGCCACCTGCGTATCAGGCCCAGACAATACGCGGACACCCACAGCCACAAACCCTCTTGAACAATCCTCCGAAACCTTCCGCTTCTCAAAGACCTCAAACCATGCAATCTTGCCCAGGCAAGCCCTGGCACGGCCCAGTCTCCCTTGCCAGGGCGTTCCTCCCAGCTCGCCTGCACAAGAAGAAGGACAAGGAGGAGTCACAATTCAGATGGTAGCACTGGCAACGACAACAACAACAACCACCACAAACACAGCCACAGCCACAACAACAACCACAACCACCACTACAATACAAAAACGACCACGGCTGCCACGACAACGACAAAAACCGTAAGATTAACTTGCGAGTCGCCCTCGTCGTTCGTTGTCGTGGTGTTGGGCGTCCTCGTGCTTGTCCGATTCGGACCGATTCGCGACACAACACAAGTTTGGTGCCCACCCAGAAAACATACCAACAAGAGAAGAAGAAGAAGAAGAAGGAGCTGCCAAAGCAACGGCCGGATTCGACAGTATCGCAGGTGCCGCATCCCAGATGAAAGAGAAGCGCAAAACACACTCAAACGCACACCTCTTGGCTTGGTGAAGGCGATCCTGCAGCATTTGATGAAGTTCCGGGTCAGTGAGTGAAATGGACAAGTGGCGGACAGGGCCGCTACGAAGACCGATATCTGGGGTAAAATGAGGCATAACCCGTTCATGAAACTTCAGAATTGAATCCTAAGCTAAAGCGGATGCTCAGCCGAAGCCGAGCCAACATGGGAGACCACAACTCTCTCAACCCTGAATCCTACACACGACTACATGTATCTGGCGCACGAGAAAAGCCCGAAGATCGACATTTCCAGCCGGCGCGGATTGGCGAAAGGTGTCCGAAGTGATATATATGGGGGTTGGAGGAATGAGAAACGAGATCCCATTACAGTCCCCTGTTACATCTACTGCAACATACCCAGCAATCCTACGAGCATCTCTGAGGACCTCGATGACGCCCTCGATGATCTTCTCGATGCGTGCATGCACTTCCGGCCTGAGAAGCAGCCGTTCGGGTTACGCAGCATCTCCGAAGGGCGTTTAGCGTTTAGGGTTTAAGGCAACGGTGATCCCGTGGACCAGCGACAAGAGTGCTTAAGAGCATAAGGCAACGGCGAAGTTTTGGAGATAACTTTAAGCTTGTGGAAACATCCCCATGCACCAAACACCAGCAGCAGCTCGGAGAACAGCAACCTCTGAAGATCCTGCAACAATCTTGAACCTAAACCATCTATAGGCCGTAAAAATCTGGGCGCAGTTTTATTTCGCCCTGGGTCAGCCCAATCTTTGTTGGAAAGTCCTTAAAAACTCCAAACTCCACCCGTTCCCAAAACTATTATGCGTTGTAACTACTTAATGAGGATCCGAAACAGTCAGGCACTTAAACACAGAGATTTTTTCGTATTTAGAGGTCTGCAGTAAGCCCTCGCCACTGTACCCGCTCACAAACCCCAGGAGCCCGAAACAAGACTTTAAGTGGGGTCCAGGGCGTCTTAGGAACACCATGCACCAAGGCAAAGTCGAACCAAACGGACTCGGGACCCCGCGTCTCCTTCTTTCAGTCACAACAGTTAACAACTGCTGTTTTCGGTGGCGCAACGAGGAAACATCCAGAAAAGCAAAAACATAAAGCAGGCGCTGTTCCAACGCCCAAAACAACTTAGCAGCGGGTGGACGTGTGGCTTCCCTAGGGTCCCCGGAGCTTCCACGTCTTCCTTGGACTTCAAAGCCTTCGGATCTCCCCGAAATCATCTGTCGGAAGCCGAGCTCCAGACGGAAGCCGGAAAGTGGTGAGAAACCGGAGGGCGAAGAGGTCCCGTGGCTCACAAGCAGCTTTTCCTTCTAGCTCGGGATCTTCGAAAAAAGGAAATTGAAGGAGCGTTTCGAATTTCTCTTTCTCAAAGCCCTCAGCGAGCAGCCTGAAACCCTACGGCCCTGAAGCCCCAAGCCCTAGACTGTACGTGTTCTCTTGTTGAAGCTCATGGGATCCTACAGCTGATGCTTTTTCTCCATTGGCTGGCTTGCATGTCTCCCTTTGCTAGCAGAATCCGGGCTGTCCTCCTTCTACGCCATCCCAACCCTAGTTCTCGAAATCCACCTTAGCCTTAAACCATCCGCCGAAAACTGCGCAACAGCCCGCCTAGAACCCCGAAGAGGCGGCGACACGCCATGAACAATACATCCTAAAAAGCCCGGAAGCCCACAAACCTCTGCAATCCTTATACACAACCCGGAAACCCTTCGGTTAGAGCAACTGCACGAGTTGAGTGCCCGGCCCCGCGCCAGGGCCTCGGTGGGCTGGCTTCTTGTCAAAGGAATTTGCCTTCGGCCTTTTTTGCTCTAGTACATGTGGAGGGTTTTGCGTTTTGCCACAGCTATAGGTTTGAATGGGGTTCTAGCAGAACTAGAGGCCTGATTGTATTAGGCTATCGGTTTTTGTGGGGTTTAATAATGCTACAAACAAGCATTTATGTAAGGTCTTTCAGCTTTTATGCGTTTTTTCCAAACTTTCGGCTTCATCGGGTTGTTTGCGGCTTTGCTTTTGTACACGTGTTTTCCGCGCTTTTGAGCTTTCAGGAACTTAGCTTCGGGCCACTCTGCAGATTGATTTATGAAAGGGGCGAGGGCCTGTCGGGGCGCGCGGTGCCGATAACATATCCTTAGATTCGCTCTTTTACACTAACTTGTGTAAATGTTGACAAACATATGATAGAAACAAACGGAGGGAGAGCGAGAGAGAGAGAGACAGAGAGACAGAAAGACAGAGAGGTGTGGGTGTGGGCGTGTGGGTGTGTGTGTGTGTGTGTGTCTCTTCGTCTGTCTGTCCGTCCGTACCTCCGTCTGTGCATATACACGTATGTGCATGTACACCCATCTACCTATCCATCTATCTATCTTAGCTGTGCATATAGGTATAAATATTCAAGAAGTGAATACACATAGATATAGAGATAAACAGATAGATAGACAGAGATAGATTGATTTATATTCTACACACACTTGTGCCTGCATATACATTATGCTCCTCAGACTTCTGAAATTTACGGACACGTAAGGGCGCTTTGCGGTGTTTAGAATTGGCAGAAATCAGACGGCGAGCAAGACCTTTGCCACTTGCACATCCCTCTACAATGCAGCCAAGCATTCTTCATGCGAACCACCTTCTAGCAATGTTAATGTTGGCAAAGCCAGGCTCGGGCTGAACTGAACGAATCTCGGGCTCTGGCACTTGCCCGGAGCACCTCGCAAGTGCATGGCTTTAAAGGGATGCTATATAGGTTTTTAGGGTAATTGGGTTTACGGGTATTTCAGCACTCACACTCGGACTTTGAGGGTGTTTACGCTCTCGCAACTCGGACTTTAAGGGTGTTTACACTCTCGCAACTCGGACTCCGCCAGACGAGGTAAGGATGTTTAGTTGGCAAGTTTAACATCAAGTCTTGAATGACATTTGACCTCCGCAGCAAAACTCCCCCACGAAACCCTCTTAGATAAGCGCGAGCCTCTGGGTTTCTTGGGCTCCCCGCTCGGAGGGCTTTGACCAGAAAGGTCCGATCGGACCTCCGGGTGCCCCCGCTCTGAGACTTCAAGTTCTGACCCTTGTCTCAGGGGGGTTTAGGATAAAGGTCTCGGGTGTTTTTTTTATAAAGGGCTTGTAAGAGGGCTTGGAGGGTTTAGGGTTTAGTGGATTTTAGGGCTTAGGGGCTTGTGACGTAAAGCAGCCCTGAACCCCAAACCTTAAGGGGTTTCTGTCCTTTGAAGTGCGCAGGGCTTTCGCTCGCACGACCGTCGTTTAGAGCTCAGAGTTCGGAACTTGGAGTTTAGGGCTTTGAAGTTTTAGGGTTTATACATATTTGTGCTTTAGGAGCTTAGACATCGCGAGCTATCACAAGCAATGAGACCAGGATGACGCTTTTTCAAATGCAGAGGCACACGTGAAGCTACTATGGCGAAACACCGCTCTGCGTGCAAGCATGATAACAGAGCGGCCTGGCCCATATTCTCGGACACAGCAGGGGCACTTGAACACTGTTTCTGCGTCCGCTTGATCCGCAGTCGTTCCTACAGCTTCCGCCATTCCCCAGCGGTACAAAGCCCTCTAATACAAAAGCCAGAGATGTGCTCTCATGCTGGAACCCTACTCCGAACCTTAAAATGCCAAAAGCCCACTATGAGCCCCTGGTTGAGGAACGAGCGTAGATAATGCAGAGAGCTGAAGGAAACAACCGCAGTGTAGAAGATCTGAGCTCTTGACAACTCGAATTGGCGGTGCCCCGACCTGCCCCGCACGAGTTCCCGGCAGTCTCTGGGAATTTGGGAGGGCACTCGAGTGGATCAAGAGCTCCTTTTCATATTTTTCAGGGATCTTTGTAGTCAGAGGTGAGCACTCCTACTCATTACCGGGCCATACGGAGCTGCGAACTCATTCCATTACTACTCAATAACGCAATACTACTATGAGTGACTCAACTTGCATCTTCCGTTCCACGAGAAAAATGCTCCTTGCAGAGACGGCATCCCTCGTCAACCACTATTCTTCAGAAAGCAACAGCATGCTTGAGACTATCAGGTCAACCTCCACCTGCAGCGGAGTTGCCAACAAATCCAAGTTCATGAAGGTTTTATCAGCCTGGACGTCGTGACAGCCTGCTCCATCGTTCGATGGGCATGGAAGCTACTACCCGAATTCCGAGCACCACAAGGCCAGCAAGGCCAAAGGCCTTTCTTTAGGGTGCGGGACCCAAAGTTTGCAATTCTGCATCATGCAACCTTAAACGAGAACTTTCGGTTGCGCATTCCGGCAAGAAGCCGAAACCTCAACCCTGAAGCTCCAGAAACTACACCCAAAACCTCAACCTCGACCCTCAAAACACCCTTGCATCCCAGACTCCATACCGAACCCCCAGAATTCCCAAACCTCGAATCTTCAAAAATTTCCAGACCCCACACTCTGAACTTAAACTCTCTCTGAAGGCCGATCCCTGCCGGAGCCATGACCTCGGCCCCACCCCGAACCCTCATCTTGTCCTGCGACACTCGGCCACGAGGGTCTGCACCTGCACATACCCTTTGTCTCGAAATCCAAGAAAAGCGTTTGGGGTGAGGGCTGCACGTTGAGAGTTCGAGATTCAGCATGAAAGGCTGGGGGTTGCGAGGTTTGACTCGCTTCGATCTTTGGGTTCATGGTTTCGGCTGACAGGCTTGACACGGCCAGGGAAGGACACTGCGACTCTGGTCCGCTCTCAAAAGTCCATCTAAATGCCAACTGCAGCGCGGGTACAACAATGAATGACAATCAACCAAGTACTAACCCAAACCAACCCAGCACAAAGCTGAATTTGTAGCAGGGTCTAGTAAGGCAGGGTTGGTGAAAGGCTTTAGGGCTTTCACCAGCTGATATTCTGTCTGGGGTCTGCGGTCGATGATGCACGGGCCAGATTACGAACTCAGACCGGCTTGAGCAATAGACTAACAACTCACTGACACCCTGAACCCACTGAAGCAGCTTCTCGGCGACACACATCAGTTTGTGAAATAACATCACCCACCACCCTCCGTGCCCTTACATTGCATGCGCCGTCACTATGCCGTCGCTTTTGTTGGTGGTCGAGACTACAAGTTGTATGGGCTTTGAGAGTGGGTCAGCACAAAACGCGGGCACCGGAATTTGTTTGGACTTAGAAAAGCAACTTTCCTGGAGCGTCGGTCAGAACAACACACGGGGCAACAGTTTGTGTTCCACTGTGTTACAAAGGACAAAACCAGAGAAAGGGCAGAAACTCGAACCAACTTAATGCGGGGCTCGAAGACTTGTCTTCTCTCTCATAGATCAAACAAAAAGGCTGAGATTGTTGTTTGGATGGGGTTGTTGTTGTTGCTGTTGCTGGCATGATGGGAGCATGTGTTTGTCGCGTCAGCAAGACTGCCACTAAGTGAAGGCTGCCGCACAGCAGGAGCTGAGTCCCGGCACCAGACGCAGAAGCAAGCGCCGCATCTGAGGTGGCACTGCGATAGAATTCAGGTCCAGGCTGCCTCGAAAAGCGCAAAGTGCGTGGAAGACAGCTTTCGTATTAAAGGACCGTGGCTCATGCGCTAGAACATGCTAGAACGACAGAGTGAAGACCGAAGCTATGAGGACCGAAGTTACCAAAGCGGACAAACAAAATGCCGAAGGCTTGGAGTCAAGTTGTTGGGATCGGGGCTTCGCGAAGATAATCCGATAACTCGTTGCAAACACCGATGCAACATTTGCACGAAAGGATGATGTCACAACTGCTAGTTTATGTGCAGTTGCGACATTGACCAGCCACATGTTCAAACTTTTTCATGCCACTCCCATGCCTTACTAACTACCACGCGTACCCGCAACAAACTTATCATTGTCATTGTGATGCCGCAGCCATTAAGGCAGCCTTGTGGTGGTTGTGCTCAGCTTTCCGGGAAGTGGCAAATGTTTACGCAGTGATTATTGCGATCAGTACCCATAATGTCAGCTTCGCTGGCTGCCATCAGCACTGCCGTCATTCTGCAGCATGCACAACCACACGATCGAGTCCAAGTTTCTTCTAATATTCTGTGGCTGCTTTCGTCCGCAGAGGGTGTCGGTGCAAACTAATCACAAAGATTGGCAGTAGTCGCGCGCGTTGAACACGTCTCCGTTGCCGGCACACTGCACTCAGACAGCAGACAAAAACAGTTGACTGAAATCGTGCAAAGGTACTCATTCGAAAGAAACCGTGTCGGGGTGGAAGCCAGCAATGAACGTTTGCGCGTATTCAATATAAACGACTCCAGTCAAAGCAAGAACCAGACTATGAAGCTTCCACAAGACGTTCTTCGCCGGCCACGTGAAGAATCCCACCCTTATGCCAGCATGCTGCGGAAAGGGGGACAATACTGTTTTCAGTGAGTGCCCCTCGCAAGGGAGCGCAAGCGCGAAATCACCTCGGACCGCAGCTCGCTTGAAAAGAGAAGGAGGAGATGTCCTGTAGCCTTGGGATGCCCAAAAGCGTTACTGAGTATGGCCGTGGGTAAGGACAGGGCAGAAAAACTTTGCATTTTGTTGTGCCCGATCGTGGCAGGAGTTCCCGGCTCGCGAGCTTAGAACTTTCCAGGGTTCTTCGTGCATCGCCGAGCGGGTGCACCCTGATCCCGGGGTTGTCCCATACCCTCGTTTACGACGGACAAGGGATTCCAAAACGGTGCGCGTTCAAGGAACAAGCATTTTGTTGACAGGTTGTGCCTCTACCAGAGACAGGGTTTTGGGCTTAACTCTCCGGTGCAGGGTTCAAGCTTTAAGGCTTACACCAACACCCCATGCCCGGCCATGCCCTGAAACCATCTCGCTTTTTGCCCCCTCTCAACTCTGAAACCGTGAAAACCCTGAAGCCAATCGAAAACCCTAACCCCAAACCCTGAAATCCTGACCAGAGCTGCCTTCTTGCAAAGCCGGAAGAAGCATCCGCTTCCGCTGTTCACTGGCCTCCAGACCTTCTGAGTCGAAGCCGAAGGTCTCTTCTTGCGGGTCGTCACATTTGGGGACGCTACCACTTGGCTAAAGCCAAAGACCAAAGCCCTGATCGTCATAATTGCCAACATCGTAGCTGGTGATTCTTATGGTCGGCTCAGGGTGTAGGGTCTTGGAGGCTTTGGAGCTTGGGGATTTTAGCATAGCAGGAGGGTTGGGGGGGATTGTACTAAACTTTGCTACAACCCCAACCTGGAGAAGAAGTAGCACCTCGGTCACTCAGACTACTTTTTGAAGCTGAGCGCCCGGCCCATGATCTGGCCAGCCTCCTTCCACTGCTTGCCGACTTAGTTGTGAGCCATTTCGGGCACGCATCACCAACCCTAGAGGGACCAGTTTTATTGGAACCAAGATCTGTGACTTGGAGTTCGGCCGCCCAAACCAACCTAAAACGATACGCCCTCAACCCTAAACACCCTCAAGTACACTGTCTTGGGAATCCTTCGGGATGTTGAACCCCTTATCAAACCAATGAAGAACCCCACATGAAGAAGCAGCTGCATGAAGAAGCATGTTGTACAACCTCACAGAGACCTTGCAAAGCCCCTTAGAAGAACCCCCTTTGAACTCGTACCTGATGAATACGGGGATATGGGACTTGACAACCCGCCGCTAACACCCCACAAACCCCCGATGAACCCCAGAAGCCCTATGATATTCCGAACCCATTCTTACAGACCCTTTCTTGAACTCCTTTCTCCTCCTGAGCCTGGAGTTTAGGGCTTGGGGCCCCCCCAGGACCTGCATGGAAGCCCCCTGGCCTTCTGTTTGGAGCGACCTTGAACTAAGGGATCGTGGAGTCGCTCCGTTCTACACGGCTCTTTCTGAAACCAATTAGGATCAACACAAGGAACGTGGATGAACAAGCCGGCACCCCGCCCGCCCCACACCAAGCCGCCCCCCCTGCCAAAAAAAAATCCACTAAACCCATAACCCGAAACTCCAAATTAAAGCCAGAAACACTTCTTCGAACCGAGGCTCGGAGCGCGCCATCCAGCCGCAGCTGCACGGCGAAGCGATCCAGGAGTGCAGGGTCTAGGGGATCGGCCTCAAGGGCATTTGGGCTTTATGTGCAGTGGTTTCCCTGGGCTTCTTTAGGGCTTTATCGGGTTGCTTTAGGGTTCTACAAGGTTCCTTTCAAGGGCTCCCTGCCTTAAGAGTACTGTCGGGATGTTGCTTTTCAGTGTTGTTTGCTGAGGGTCCAGAGTTTAGGGTTAAAACTGTGGCTGCTTTGCTTTGTGTTGCTTTGTTTTGAGGTCGTCTGAAGGCTTTGAGGGCTGAAAGGTTCAAGGGTTCGAGATGTTTTTTCCTTGTGTTGCATCTGGGTCGTTTTCTTTCTGCTGCGTGGGCGGCTCTAAGAACTTGTTTTAACCTTCTCTTTCTTTCGTCAGGGCTATGGTGTAGGGCAGTGTAGGGGTTGCCTTCCCTCTCTCTCTCGCCGTGACCTGCGGCTGTTCCTGTTTCTGTGTTTGCTTCCGGTGGGGGAGGCGCCTCGGGCCAAAGGCTGCAAGGTCTAGGAGTCTAGGAGTGGAGGGCTTACAGCTTCAGGCAACTCTTGACTTACCTTTGGCTATTTGGGATCTAGAGGGGTACTATAATATAGGGGGCCTTCATAATCGTATGGCTTGCCTTTGGTTAGGAGGGAATGGAGGAATGGGGTACAATCATAACTACTATTACTACCATTCCTCCATTCCCTACCAACCAAAGGTAAGTCGACCCTACCCGCAGCCCCGCATCTGCTTTTGGAAGCAGGAGGCTGTCACCCCCTAGTTCGAATGTGGAGGGCGCAACGATAGACCTGAATCCAGTTTGAGGGGCACCGGTTAACCCCCCAAACCCCGCAACTCTTCTGCTACCAGGCCTCCATCACCCCAACACCCTGAAGTTCCAAAACCTTGACAAAGTCCCCACACCCCTGCGGTAACTCCCAAAACGCCGCCCGCTTTTTTCTGAGGTATCGATCATGTCTTCTGTCGCTTGCTGCTCGCATCCTCGGCACTTTCGGCCTAGCATCGGAGTTCTAGATCGGATTGATGCGCGTTTGCAGGCGGTCATGGGTTCTACTTTTTCCATGCTTCCAAAGGACTGGCTTGTGATGATGTTGAAGGAGTTTTTGTTGCACAGGGCTCTGGTCAGGCTCGCACATCGCACGTTGGGGCCATGAGTGCTCTGATTGGTCCAACCTTTCGCAACAAGCTTGCAAAACGTCCAGCGCTTAGCAAGTGAAGTCAATTTCGTATTGAACAAAACCAGCGCTTGAAAGCTCGAAGGTACCCGAATGAAGACCTTGGGGTCGGGGTGACTCTCTCCATGCCCTTTCTGCATGGATTAGTATAGAAACCTCGAAATCCCCTTCCTGATCTCTCCAAGTTTAAGATTTGTTCTCAAGGTTCTCTTCGAGGGTTCAAAGTTTGGCTCGGAAGCCCCAAGAAACTACTCCCAAAATCTCCCAAAACCCCCGAAACCCCGAAATCGCAACCAGGTCCAGGACAATCTTGTCCCTCTTTGCTGGACGTACGTTCTGAGCCCCGACATAGAAACCTTCAACCAAAACTTTGAACCCGACAACCTCCCACTAAACCCTGAGGTTTCGAGTCGTAGGCGAAGACCTGAACCGGCAAAAAAGTCCTCATAAAAACTCCCTTCCTGCCTGAGTTGCAGGAGGTGCAGCTCCTCCGCAGACTAGATGGGGTGAGTGGTGAAGTTTTGTGTTTCACGCCTTTTCCCAACTGCTGAAGAGTATCCCCTAGGCAGGCTTGGGTTTCTAGAGCTCTGCTGCATCATCATGAACGCCTGAACACCCTGAGGTCCAAAGCCAACGTAATAGTGTTTTGGCCCTCTAGATCTGTCAAGGTTTCGAGGTGCCAGACAGACAAAGGCAAGATACCAGACCTGCGCGATCCAAGGCAGCTACTCTCCTACCTCAGCACACACCACACACATAGACAAACCGAACGCAAGATGCCAGATTCTAAGCCCATATCCTGTAACCCATGAACAATAAACCGAAACCCAAAAAGCAACAACCAATTGCAATCACCGTCCTTCGCTGTCTTCCCGTTCCCTTTTCACACCCTGGCCTGGCTCTTTGCGAACATGGGGAGTCACGTTGCAAGCCCAACCGTCCCGAACCGAGGAAGGCTGCTCAAAATTTAAAACCCTCTCATTATGGTTTACGGACTCTGGCTCAATCCCGGAGGACTATGACGAAGCCCGCTTCGAGGGGCCTGCTCTTGGTCCGCAGCAGTCATGGGACTGGCTTGTAGGGGTCTATGTCTGGGGCCTGTAAGTCCTAGGTTTGACCCTAAGGTGTCAGGCTTCGAGATTCGGGCATCGGCTCGAAGCCAAAACTCCACCTTGCTGTGCTGTCTAACACGGGCTAAATAAAAACCTACCTGACAAGGAGTTCTGACGGTCACGCGCTCCGCCCCCACCCCTCCCCCGCAAAGGTCAATGGTGGGGTGTGGCCCCTCTTTTTTTGCGGGGTGGTTGTGGGGTTTTGTTTTTTTTGGGGTTAGCCTAGGATTCCCTTCTTTCAGCCTTTCAGCTTCCTTCAGCCTCCTGCGTCAATATGATGCTTCTTCAGACGTCTTGCCCCAGCCCGTGACTCAAACAAAAGGGTTTAGCTTAGGCTTTTGTTTGCGTTTTGGGTTTACGGGTAAAAGGTACAAGGCTTTGAGTCGACAAAGGCTTAGGAGGATTTGGGCTGCAGGTTCGTTAGGGTCGACGGCTGACGTTCTGCTTTAGGCTGGGTTTAAGTTGGGTGTAGGGTTTAAAATACAGGTCAAGGTTAATCAAAACAGGAGCACGCGCTACGTTATAGGGTTTACAGCTTGCGAAGGGCTTGTGTGTGAGGCCGCCTGGCCGCCCCCCAGCACCACCCCGCCATACAGGGCAGCTCCGAACCCCCACCCCTCTCCGCACACGCCAGCCCCCCCCCCCCACCCCCCACCCCTACCAGACCCTGGGGAGGCTGACCATATATGGCTTGCTCAATGCGTCGGCGGAAGGATAGATAGATAGAACACAAATAGATAGGCAGGCAGCAGAGTGAGGGAGACAGATAGGCAGATAGATACATCGACAGATAGACAGACAGGCGGACAGATGCAGGAAATTTCGTTACTGCCGCAAGACAGCGACTTCAGAAAGCAGCTCGTCCGCAAACACAGACACACCTGCACATCTCTGTCACCTTTTCCGAGCAAAGCAACACCATCTCAGCAACTGGTACTCTAGGGGGTTTCGTTTAAGGGTGCTATAAGAGACAGGGCTTTCGGGTTCAGGCTCCACGGGCTGGAGATTTCGCAGGTGCCGGAAACGAGTGATCCGTTCCGGAGAGCGTCGCTAGGCACAGCGAAAGCACTCCTTCCTTAAAAGCTGCTGCATGGATGTAAACTAAAACGAATCGATGGGTCTGTTCCCGAAGGGTCGCCAGGAACAGCGACGGCACCCCGTTCTTCGAACCGAGGTTGTGCAGCTGCAAGAGAACGACTGGTAAGCATCATCGGGAACGGCAGCACAGAAACACACCAAACAGGCTGGCTACTGCTGATCTCGGAGTTCACATGCTGACCCACTGCTTTCAGCTTCGCCCTGCGGTGCGGAGGTGTCGGAAACAGTTGGCGAAGCCGACTTCCGCTGGCGGAACACCAAGTAGGCGCCAACCTCGGAACGAATTTCTCGTAATGCTTCCCCATGCCTCTCATCATCGTCAGCAACAGAAAACTACCCCAGCCGCTGTTCATCTGCACCAGCACGAACATCATCTTAAATCATGTGCCAAGTCCTTACCATCATCTGTAGCTTCCATCGTCACTGCCACGATTACCTGGTTAACATACACGATTGTCATGCGCATCCCACCGTCATCACGACTATCATCACGATTTTCGTCCAGGCCATCGTCGCCAGCATCGTCATCGGGGAGTAGACGGAACATGCAGCAGCCGCAGAGCTGTGGCCAGCTAGTATTAATGCCAACTTCCGGGCTAAGCACTACTATCCGCCTTGCCGATACTCTGTCTCTGTCTCGCTCCTGCCGCCTCGCCGTTACTCTTTTCTTTCACTACGACCATGGCATGACTCTCGCCGGTGTTGCCCTAAAGAGAGTCCGCTGCGGCCTTTGCCCCGAGTCATGCAACTCTAAATGAACCTTAGACTCGAGGGGACTTAATGCCCATAACAAGGACCTAATAAGGCCTATTGAAGGAAGTATGGTCCCCTACCCCCCTCCCCCTACCCGCCTAAGGGTCCCTATGAGTGTTTCCTTTCAAAAGGAAGCTGAGAGACGGATGCGGGTAGGAGGTTGACATAGAACGCAAGGTATCGTCCAAGACGAAGGTCCTCCGACTCCTTTGCTCAGGACCGCAGAGATTGGGGCGTAACACTTCGAGCTGGCTAGGGTTTAATTAAGGGTTTCGGATGTAAAATTCGGAATGTGCGCTGGTCTTCATCCAAGGTTTACACAAGCTGTTGCCCTAAACCCTAAACTCAAACTGTTGCCCAAGATTGATCCGGTCTCCAATGAGCATCCCAGGTGCATCAAAGCACCCGCCAACACTGGCCCCAAACCGCGTGACACGGAGTTCAGTGAGTTGCTCCAGCCATTGACTACGGAACGATTGCGCCGTGTGCACTCCTGGTTCCTTGACAGCTTTAGGAACTTTACTTAACCAGCCATCTCAAACATGACACCCAACCAATTATGACAACATACAACAACAAAAGCACCCAGGTTACACCAGTACGGCAACCAGCGGAAAGGTGGTGCCAAAGCCAAGCTGGTTCAGGCCCTGCCAGATAGTGATAGGCACCAGACGCCAAGCGCTGGCTTCTTCAACGTCGGCTGTCCTAGCTGCGACTGGGTGATTTCAGGCGGACGACAGACCTTGACAAGTGTCCTAAACTCGAAGCCATAAACCCCAAAGCGGGACCTTAAACCTACTCAAGCCACGGCTGAGTTCTCATAACTAAAACGGGGGCTCGACAAGCTGCAGAAGATGTCTTCCCTTCTCGGAATGAATGATATGCTGGAATTTATTA